GCTGGACTCCTCCAGGAACCGATTTAAAAAAAAAAAAAAAAAAAAAAATAAGCCTTGGGCAAGGAGAGCATAGTGCCTTTACTGCAGCCCTCAGGACACAAAAGTCAAGGACTAGGGTTCCTTCCAGGAGCTTCCCTCCTCAACTTTCCACTCTGTGCAGACCCACAATCTCTGTGCAAGCCAAACCTGGTGGCTGCCACCCCTGCCTCTATGCCTGGACCTTTGTCACAGCTGCCCGAGGGAAACGTGCAGACGCGGGTTCCCGGTGCAGATGTCTCCCGCTCACCAAAGCCCCATGTTGATCATGGCTTCACGTGACTCTCCGCAGATGACCCTCTATGTTCCTCCCCGAGGGCCCGAAGCCCCTAGGACAAGCTTCACTGGCTGGTCCTTCCTGCTCCCTGGAGCCCCTGGCCTTGCTCTCTGGTGCCTCCATGCCCCTCCTCACCCTGAGACACCTGTAGCCTTAAGGAGCAAGACAGTCTTTTGTCTGACTGTCCTTTCCTCTTGACGACCAAATTCCTCTCCCAAATGGACCATGACCACTTCTCTCCACTGCCTATCTCCCTCTTTTTTTTTTTTTTTAAGACTTTATTTATTTATATGACAGAGATCACAAGGAGGCTGAGAGGCAGGCAGAGAGAGGGGGAAGCAGGCTCCCTGCTGAGCAGAGAGCCTGACTGGGGACTCAATCCCAGAACCCTGAGATCATGACCTGAGCTGAAGGCAGAGGCTTAACCCACTGAGCCACCCAGGCACCCATGCCTAGCTCCCTCTTAAAGCTCTGAGAATTCAGCTTTTCCCCAACCATTTAAACCACATCACAGTAAATCACGGGTGTTCTTGACAGCATTTTCTCTCATCTCCATTCTCCCTTTTCTAGAACGTTTGGCCATTTCCTTGAAACTCTTGTCAGTGGCTTAGTCCTTCAGCCCCTCTCTCTCCTTCACTCACAAATGATAACCATGAATTTTCTCTAACCCACACAGTTTTGCAAAGATGATTGCTTCGTTTTACAAGTGCAGAAATGAGCCCAGGATGTGAAGCAGCTTGCCAGATAAATAGCAGAGCTGGATTTTACTGTATTTTCTGTAAGTTTATTTATTTTTAAGTAATCTCTACACCCAACGCGGGGCTTGAATTCACAAACTGAGATCAAGAGTCGCAGGCTCCACGGAGGCAGGCAGGCACGCCCAGAGCCGGATCTTCGAGCGTGTGACTCTGGCAACAATTGGATTCTTTCCACTGCTTCAGTGTCCCTTGTTCTCCTTTATGAGCTCAATTCTCCGTCCTTCATAAGTCAATTGCGTGATCCCACAGCTACGTTTATGGAGCCCCATAGCACAGTGGTTAACAGTCCACAGGCATCAAGTGGACGATCGAATCCTTTACCCACCACGTACTCACTGTGTCTTAGTTACCTCATCTGCAAAATGGGCGTAGAGTTACTATAAGCATTAAATGAGCCATTATGTAAAGCATGGACAACCGTGCCTGACATAAGTGTGCCAAAAATATTACCTGTCCGTACTTCCTCCAGGGGCCTCTCAAGCTTCTCGATATTTATTTACCCATGCATTATCTTTATTGTGTGCCCGAAACTTGCTTCTGGATTCCACATTTTAAAAAAGAGAAATGGTCCAAGTGCAGGATAAGGAAAGCAAACCACCTTGTATGTCCAACAAAGGATTTCCCTGGTGAGGAGAAAACTCACTGGGAACTTGGTCTCTGCCCCCAAATATCTGAAGAGGGATGCAAGAGGGACTCGGTTTGCTCTGCATGAGTCCAAGACATAGGAACAAAAGTCCTTTTCAACAAACAATATTGTCAGGCCATGCGCGAGGAATAAGAAGAGGAAAGCGGTACGGCAACGAGTAGGGCAGGTAATCGAGGCAGCTCTCGTGGCTCCCAGGACTTGGACAAATGAGAAAAAGGCACCCCTTGCCCAGGACACTTACTTGACTGCCTTCTGTTGGCAAGTTGTGATAACCATACAGTTCACTGATCACTCCCTGGTAAGGTGAATGGTGGCCCCTGGGATGGTGCAGGGAGTTGCACAAGCGGGAGCAGCCTTTGTGGAAGGCACAGGCAGAAGAAAGAACCTGGTGCAGAACCAGCCAGAGCTGCATCAATCCAGGCTTTGGGCTGGGGGGACGTCAGGGGGCCGCACAGGAAGGGATTTTGCATGAAGGAGGGCTGGGCCAGATGTCCCTTGTGATCTCCTTGTATTCTAAGAGAATGCAAATTTTTCCGGGTTCTTCCAGAAACTAGGGGAACAGCTTGCAACTTGCTCTTGTAAAAGTCTTGGCAGGAAACTTTACCCTCTCTTATTTTTTTTTATCTTTTTATTTTTAAGATTTATTTTTTTGGAGACAGCGAGCACAGGTACAAGTGGAGAGAGGGGCAGAGGGAATGGGAGAGAGAATGTCAAGCAGACTCCCCTCTGAGCACGACCAGGTCTAGGGGCTTAGAGGTGGGACTCCATCTCATGACCCTGAGATCAGGATGTGATCAGAAGTCAAGAGTTAGAGAGGCTTGGGGCACCTGGGTGGCTCAGTTGTTAAGGGTCTGCTTTCAGATCGGGTCATGATCCCAGGGTCCTGGGATTGAACCCCGCATTCGGGCTCCCTGCTCAGCGGAAGCCTGCTTCTCCCTCTCCCACTCCCCCTGCTTGTGTTCCCTCTTTCGCTCTTTCTGTCAAATAAATAAATAAATAAAATCTTTAAAAAGAGAGAGAGGCTTAACCAACCAAGCCACCCAGGTGTCCCTAACCTCTCTTTAATAAGGAAAAGGCATGGGGCTCTCACCAGAGAGGGCAGAACTAAAAACAAGGATCTGCGACAGATGGAGCCACATCTCTATCCCTGGGGAAGAGGGGGAGGGGGG